TGAACTATATAACATCATAAGAATAGTATGGCCGACATTAACTTGAAGGAGAATTACCAATGAGATCTTGCGATTGAATAGGTTAACAAAAAAAGCAAAAATAACTCCCCCCTTCCTGTAAAGTTGAATCTTTTGGGAAAGTTCCACAACATGCGAGTTTTTACTTTTTTTGTTTGTTTGTATATATTTTTTAAAATCTTTTGTTGTACCGTATAAAATTACCTTGTCTCTATGCATTCCTCCGTCATATACACCACTGACGAAGCAGATGAATGCGGAGGCTTCTTAAAGGTACGCCTTTGCCTTTTCATTTATGGTGGGGGATTCAAAAGTTCCTAGGATGTCAACTATAACAACCACGAAATTTAGTCAATCGATTTTAACCTTTAAGATTTTGTCTTGTAAAAGGGCAATACATAGGGAATTAAAGAAACAACGACGTCGACGATGTGTCTATGTATCTAAAGCTTCCTCGTCACTTTTTGTGGACTACAAAAATAGAAAAAAAAAAAAGAATGGCTGAAAGGATGCAGGAATCGATGGAGGGAATGACGAAAGGGTACATCGGTGATCTTCCTCGAATAAGCGCCCACGTGATGATAAGCCCCCTCCCCTGACTAAGCGTCCACCCCTTAGACCATAATGTCAAAAAAGCGCCCATCTCGAATAAGCGTCCCCCGTCCTTCCTCAATTTCTTTAACCCTTTAACTCCCAAGATCTCATTAGTAATTCTCCTTGCTGTCTCACATGCAGTTCTTGTGATGTTAGTTTGGAGAATTTGGTATTGGATCCACTTTTATTCCCCTTACTGATATTTTTTCGTTATTCTCATCACTTGTCTGCTTGATATTGTATTGATACTGTAAGGAGAAATTTTGTCTTGGTCACTCATGCGAGTGAAGGGTTAACAGCAGGGATACAAGGAAAGCCCGTATTTATTGCCACTTTAATTGTAATTTTCAAGCTTTAACTGCAGCGAATCAGTACAGGAGAATAGTTTTTTAGCCGTTCCAACCATTTCTATCTCCATTTGCGTGCAGAGTTCCTTTATGTGCGTCATTTACTCTTTTGATTTTTGTCCTTTTTCTGCCCTAACTTAATAAGCCCCCTCTTCCTTCCTCGATTAAGTGCCCTCGTTCTAATATGCGCTCCTCCCCTCGCTGGGGGAACTACGGTGGTTAATGAACACGATGCATTCTTCCATTTTTAGATTCCGTTTGTAAGAAACGATTTTGCCCTTGAGATCTCCGACGTCCTGTTCCAAAAGGGCTCGTACTTTTTCATCTATAGAGTTCAAATTATAAGTAAAAGGTGTTGGAAGATCGATGGAAGAAATAACTGGATTAAGTCTTTATTTGACCTTTACAGTCTGCGATCTTAAGAAACATGTAAGTCTAATTATCTTCGTAAATGCTTCGTTTAACAATTTTTAAGGGAAAATGATGGGACTTTGTTTTCTCTTCCCAAGTTTGATCACATAATTCCGTCATGAAAATGTATGCTGCTCAGTATTGAAATTCCTTCCAAGGGAGCTTCTGTGCACGTCATTTGACCCTTTTTGTGCTTACAACTCTATCTCTGTGATTATTTAGAAGTAGATAGGAGATTTCTGACCTTCCTGCATCATATTTTATGTATATATTTAAAAAACATAATGCTTTATACGAAATTTTCTAGGAGTAAACGATCACAAGTGTCTTACACCAGATGGTGAAACTAACTCTAAAATCCGGTAAAAGCTTTCATACAAGCTGACAGAACAATATTCGCCTTCAGAATATTGTTGTTGTTCCTCGTTCAAAATAGTAACAAGCCAACTATTTGTCAAAAGCCCCCAAAAAATAGGTCCTAAGGAGATTAATACTCATGATAGCCAGCTCTTATTAAAAGAAATCTACTACATCATTGAAACTATTGTATGTTTGTATCAGTTAACGATACTATGACAATATGACTGGATAATGCCTTTTTAACATCAGAGAACGGTCGCTTGATTAAGGCTTTCGGTAGTCTCTTTTTCGCTTGCAAGGTCTAGAGAACACCAGGACATGAAGATTGTATGCATATTATAACAATCATCCTGCAGAGATTTAGAGAACTGCCATGCACCACTCCTACATTCCGTCAACTCACTGCGTAAGAATGCATGTATTTTATACACTTCTTGCGTTAATTTTCATGCCTAACGAAGCTACTTTTAGGCTAAGAGCAGGACAATGGACTGACAACCCTGTACCGTAAAAAAAAAAAAGATCGTCTCACAGACAAAGCAACAGAGGTGCCACCTACATCTGTGCGCTTAGGCCTTACGGAATCATCTTAAATGACATTGATCTCGATAGAAGTCCTTAGCACTGACTGAGACCAGAATAGGTTTCTTTGATGTACGAACTAATTTTGCGCGGGTGAAGCTAATATATTTGCTATAAGAGTCATATGGGATATCCTACAACACTTTAAATCACTGTTGTTCCAAAACAGTCTACACTTGAAAAGTAAACAAATTCAAGGTGGTTGCCCAATAACCAGTGTTTACGAAGATGGTGCGTCAACTTCCTGATAGAGTTGAGTTGAGTTGTAGATGTCTGCTTTGTAATCGCACAAACAGGACTTGATCAAGTAGTGTTCATTTCTGCGAAGATCGCTTTCATATTCACATCTTTATGCGCAGTTCAAGTATGTGATTTCTATAAATTCACGCAGTCAATTATACCGCAAAGTTAAATAAATGCATGTTAAATAAATAAATGCCCTGCCATGGCAAACGCTGCGGGTGCGTTAACTTCACCTGTCCATGCAGCTCACCCTTTATTGCTGTGCTAAACTGTCAATGCTTCTGAAGGTACACTTTTACTTTCTCGTCCACGATGGGTGATTTACCAAATCCTGGTCTGTCAACTACAAAGATTCTTTCCTAGAGGAGAAAACGATGAGAGATAAGTGAATCTTAAAACAGGTCAAATTACCTTTTTTGAAGTAAGTATTTTTGTTAATGTTGTTGTTCAAACTTCCCTGACTCTTTATCTGACCAAGAAATCAAGCTGCAACTATGCTCCTGAAGGATTAGATTGCGAACGAAAACGATGTATGTTAGGCGTCAAAGATAATCCGTCAATCAACAATATATTGCAAGACCTAAATTTGCTAAGAATAATGCTAGATGGTAGCTTTTAGCAACCCTCAAGTCACAATTTACAATTTATGCCCTCAGCTTGCTAATCACCAACCTTAAGCAGGTTTTTTGGCCAAAAGATCTCAATCTTATCTAAAGCTGAACCTTGCAGATCTTCATTTTGGAAAAACCAGGCGATTTTTTGAAGGAGGATTTGTTGAGAGTTCACAGCCATCTCGCCAGGCTGGATACTCTTTGAAGGAAGGCCTGTTTGAGGATCTGCGTCTTTATGGTGCGCTACCAGCTTGTGGGTTTTCTATATCTTAATTCGCAGACAACGGAAGAGGTGCCAAAAAAGGATTCAGGAATAAGTTGTTCCCCAAGAATCAGACTCAACAACATGCTCTTTTTTTAATATCTTTCACCTATCAAGAAGAAACACTAATTTAAAGAAAAATGTGAAATTAGTGGTGTTTAACTTTCCAGATCCATTCTCTTTGATGAGTCCTGCAGATTAGGTTTAAATTGCTAATTTCTCATAAACATGCAAGACAGCTTCTTATCAAAACATAAATCGTGTTTACGACCACGAATGACAAGAATCTAGCCATTAAAAAGAAACTGAAACAAAAGAAGCGTTATTAGGAAAAAATAGTGAAAAATATATATATTAATGGAGCGAATAGTCTTGAAAAACTGGCAGACACTTTGACATATCTCCCGCATATAGAAAGGGATAAAATATACAATGATAAATATTCATCGTTAGTTTTTATAAGGTTAAGAAATCACATACTTTTTTGAAAGAGAACACGTTTTGTGATCAAGATGAGTTAAATCAACTGAAACACGAAAACAACAACAACCAAACCACAACAAAAATATGTTGTTTCTGTCTTTCGAGTTTATAGCGTCGGCGTTGCAACCATACGTAATCAAGGCGTTTATCGTTCGGGAAAAGGAATTTTCTTAGATACTCTGTCAAGTTATGACCACAGGTAAAGGATTAGACTTCTCAGTGGAAAAACTCTGAAAATTGTTCCCTCGGCCATGGGGGTTGAGCAAACCTCGTATGACAAATGAGGAGACGAGTATGGAAAGCTGCGTGACGTCTGTCAACATGAGCCGGTACGCGGTCCCTGTTTCCTATTTATATGCAAAAAGTGAGCTTCATACGACTTACTGCAGGACGAGTATCGCTTCGAGGTAAGCCAAGGAAATTGATACCAGAGATTAAAAGCGATTAAGTTCAAAAGATCGGCCATGACGGACACGAAGGCATAGTTAAAACGGAGAATGTATTGCATAAACAGTGAAGTCTGGTAGACATTGGCATGAGTCTGTGAAGTATCTCGTGTCCTACTCCTTTGTAAGCATAAGTAGAAAGCGTGGAAGATCGATAGAAGGAAAACCTGGATTGAGTCTTTATTTGACCTTCAGAGATTGTGATCTTTAGAAACAATTAAGTCTAATCATCTTCGTAAATGCTTCTTTACCAATTCTTTGGGGGAAATGATAAGACTTTCTTTCCAAGTTTGATCGCACATCAGTCATAAAAACATACGCTGCTCAGTTTTGAAATTCCTTCCAAGGGAACTCCTGCTTACATCATTTGACCCTTTTTGTGCTTACAACTCTGTCCCTGTGATTATGTGAGAAGTAGATAGGTGATTTCTGACCTTCCTGCTTTATATTTTAAATAAGTACTTAAAAAACAGAACTCTCGAACGAAATCTTTAAGGAGTAAACAATCACAAGTGAAAAGCTTTCTTACAAGATGACAGAACAATATTTACCTTCATAATATTATTAACCATGAGAGTACGGTCGTCTCTCTCTCTCTCTCTCTCTCTCTCTCTCTCTCTCTCTCTCTCTCTCTCTCTCTCTCTCTCTCTCTCTCTCTCTCTCTCTCTCTCTCTCTCTCTCTCTCTCTCTCTCTTTTTTTAATTAAGACTTTCGCGAGTCTCTTTTCCCTTGCAAGGTCTAGAGAACACAAGGACATAAAGATAGTATACATATTATAACAATCATGCTGCAGAGATTTAGAGAACTACCATACACCACTCCTACATTTCTTCAACTCAGTACCTAAGTATCAATGTATTTCATACACTTCTTGCTTTAATTTTTATGCCTAACGAAGCATACCGTAAAAAAAGATCCTCTGACAGACAAAGCAACAGAGGAGCCACCTACACCTGTGCGCTTAGGCCTTTTGAAATCATCCAAAATGACACTGATCTCGATAGAAGTCCTTAGCATCAGCACTGACTAAGACCAGAGTATGTTTCTATGATGTATGAGCTAAGTTTGAAACGGGAAAATTGGCGTGGGTGAGGCTAGTCTATTTGCTATAATAGTCATACGGGATATCTTAAAACACTTTAAACCACTGTTGCTCCGAAAACAGTCCAAACTTTAAAAGCAAATATGTTAAGGATGGTTGCCTAATAGCCATTGTTTATGAAGATGGTGCGCCAACTTCCTGATAGAGCTTAGTCAACTTCTCGTAACACTCTCTCGCATCTGGTCGATTATCAGGTTTTTCGTCCCAGCAACGCTGCATCAAATCCTGCCAACCAGCTGGAGGCTCGTTTGAGCCTTCCACATGCGTAGGTCTTACGCCCTCAACCACTTTTTCAAAAAACTCATACACATTGGCATCCGCAACAAGAAGGGCTCTGTTACCATACCACATCTCCCAGAGCATTATACCGAAGCTGTAGATGTCTGCTTTGTAATCGTACAAACGGGACTTGACCACTTCCGGAGCGAGATACACAGGAGTTCCCGTCATTGTACCCGTGATCGCTTTAGCTTCTTTGGAAACACCGACGTCGGCTACTTTGGCAATATTCTCTTGCGACAGCTGTGAGAGAATTAGATAAACTTCATGGAAATTGATATATTTTTATACCAAAGTCTAGGAAAAAGGGTAGTCATCAGGAAAGGCCAAATAGAGATGAATTAGGCTCTGCGAGGATCTTTTATAGTTTCTTCACCTCAGCGCACATATATGATTTTCATATATCCACAATAATTAGGCTCTGTCATTAAAAATGTAGATCTGTCGCTATTTTCAAAATGTCTTCGAAACGCATTCTAAGCAGTTTTAATACATAAAACGTTATGAGTTGTAACCGCAGATGACACCTCTTAAAGGAAGGCAAGGCATGAAAACGACGTCTAAAGGTGTTAACTTGGGATGCGTAAGTCGTTATCTACAGTCACACTGGTTTTACGTGGAAAATAATAAATTTAATGTTGGCCTTCAAACTACAGGAATTAGATAGAAAACTATAGACAACACAGGATATTATGTGTGACCCCAGCCAATTTCAGTGAGAAGCTTAAACAGGCGGCTAATTTCCATATCTGACTACAATGACACTCAAGCGAATTTATAGCGTGGTCTGCCACAGGTATTCCATGCATGTAGAAAGCAGGAAAACTGGTTGAAGGTGAGCGAATTAGAATGCGAGATGAGTCTAAAGGACGAAGATGATCACAATTACAAATGATCACGATAACCAGTTGTGCCAACTTTTAACTCACCAATATATTTTCCAGCTTGAGATCTCTGTGAACGATACCTTGTCTGTGAATGTATTCCAAAGCATTGGCGATGTCTTTTGCCCATCCGATCACATCTCTCGCAGCTGAAGCAGTTGATGACTTACCAGGTATATTGCTTTCATGCCGGAAAATGTGCCTCATCAAGTTTTCTTTGCAGAGCTCCATCACCAGTATTGCTTTCAGCCGCTCCCCTTCCTTGCGCAGTGCTGTACCATAGAACTTTACAATAAAGGGATAATGCAGTTTCCTAAATAAAGAAAACGTAGCGTGAACAACCTACACTCATAAAACAGTATACATATTCTCTACACTGTTATCCAAACATTCTCTGATACTGAGTTGCTAACGTAAATTGGCCACCGTAAAGAGTTTGAAAGCTGACGTTTCGAGCGTATTAGCCCCTCGTTAATCGCTCTAACGAAGGGCTAACACTCTTGAAACGTCAGTTTTCAAACTTCTTACGGTAGTCAATTTACGGTATCAACTCAGTTGATAACATTTAACTACCCCGTTATACTCTCTCACCAACGCAGCACAGTTTTTATAAAAAACTTAACCCCCTTTATTCATTTTCTGATACTGACAGGAAAATTTTGATCATCAATAAAGAGCTTCTTCTGTTGACAATCATTTCCCTTATTCCCATGACCTTCATACTTGATTCAGCGGCGATGATCTAAGGGGTAATTAGATGCTAGTCCAACCTAAGAGTTCTAAGGATAATGAATTGTTGGGAAAATTAATGGTGATATGTCTCCCCGTAAAGGTTTTTCCTAATCAATATCCCGATGTGCCTTAAAATATACCTAGATTCTGGGTTTTCTGAAAGCGTCGGAAAAAATCGTGTAATTAAAATGAATCCTCTTATTACGATTTGCTCCATGAACAGAAAAGAATTAAGAAAATATCTTATGAGCTAATGAGCTTATGAGCTTATGAGTCATTAGTGCTTCCCCGAGGTTTTAGCTGATGGGCCTTTTTTTGATAAACAGCACAACATTCCAGGATCCATAAAAAAACAAAACCAACCTGAGTATCTCTGCTTCAGAAAGGAAGCTACTAGCAGTACTTCTGGTGAGCTCCTCGTTCCACACTTTCACAGCAACATCTACGGGTTTATCCTCTCCTCGTATCTTCAATTTTCCTCGATAAACAGTAGCGAACGCTCCTCTTCCAAGAGGTGCATCATCTTGCCACTCCAGATCGTCGCAGCTAATGTCCACGGTGCGAACCTCTTTGATGCCAAAGAGGGCCATCTCACCCCTTATTTGTAAACTCTTCTCGTGTAACAGTTTGTAGAAATCTTTTAGTTCTTTCTTAGAACGGTTTTTATCTCTTAATTTTTGACACAACATTTTGCTCTCTTCTATGAGCTGAGGGATCCGATCTAGGACCTGCCTAAGACAAACCTGAGCTTCTTTGAGCTGTTCCATCACGAACGACTTCAGATGCTGTTCTTCAGCTATTTTATTCAGATATTCTTGGGAAGCTTCCGCCATAAAGGCACACTTATCTTTGTTGTACTGTCTTATTTTATTCCAGTTTTCCAACTTCTCTTTAACTGATCTGGCGCCAACTACCGGAACATTGCCCACTGGGACAACCAGACTAACTGGAACCCAAATTGGACTTGTGACCCCGATGATGACTTTTTCGGCGACGCTAAAGTCGTCCGATGCCAGCGGGTCACTTCCGGAGCTGGCAGCATCTTCGGCTACAACATGACCCTCCAGCGTTCGAAGCTGACCTTTGACGTAGCTTAACCTCTCCTGAAAGTATTGAATCAAAGAGGCGCGAGCATCGGAAAAGACATGGTTCATTTCTTCCCATTCCTTTATCACTTCTACAAGTCGCTCCATCTGCAGCTGTTGGATGTAATTCTTAGTCAGTTCCCAGCTTTCTTCAGTGTTTGGAACGTCATCTAATGTCCACGAAGAAAACTGTTGCATGACTTCTGGAGACTTAAGGTACCTGGACAGTGCACTCAGAGCGTGGTCTGTCTTGCTGTCGAGGTAGGACTGCAGCTCTTTGCTTATTGTAACCTGCTGTCTTTCAAAACTTTGAAGGCGGTCAGTAGTAAAAATAATTCTATCTATCGCATTTTTACGACCTTTGGAGCAATCACGTATGAACGCTTTCGTTTGGAGGGCCATACGTGCAAGAAGATAGTCAAGCCACCTGAGAATAAAGGACATTTTTTCAGTTGTGTTTTACACCTTTTCATTATATTTATCCATGCAAAGCCAGGCTGAACAGTTTCTTGGCTTTTTTCGCACTGAGTTAACATTTTATGCACTGCATTACATTCGTATTATGCTTTCTGTATCCTGAAAAATGCATTTCACGCAGCTAATCAGAATGAAGATATCTTTTACTCCTATTTTCAGAACTAAAAAGGCATTTTTAACAACTTGAATAATCATTTTGTTGATGAGGATTCAAAGAGATTTACCTCCACTGCATCTGTAGTCTTGTTTCAATACCTTTCAACACCATGGACTTGATACCATTCATTAGTTCATCAAACTCTTTCATGACCACTCCAAGCTTCTGAGCTTCACCGGCATCTCTTGCTGACATATAAATGATCTGAGACTCTGGATCTAGAGAAGGGCAGCACTTCTTGAGTTGCGTCACGATATAGTTCTTCACTTCATCAACTTCTTCTAAAGGCACGTGGTCCCACTTGTTGCAAACGAAAAGGGCACAGTTTACGGAAGATTCCTTTCGTTTGTCAAGAGATATCTGTCTGGCGTGTTCGAAAAGTTCTCCAACCTGAAGGCAGAGACAGAATTAGCTATTTGTCGATTTTTTGGCTAGTTCAGTAGTTGCCTTTTTTGAAACGTTAGGCCTTACCTTACCGCTCTACAAGAGCAACTCATGTTTGGTTCCTTATTCTAGCACATTTGAGGAAAAAATTTGAACAGTTAAGTTACCCATACACTTTTTAAAACTGGGAGATTCAAAAAATTATGCTGTATTCCACCGGCGTTTCCACTGTTGATGACGTAAATAACTGCGAAAGCTTCTGGAAGGTACTCTTTTACTATGTCATCCATGATGGAAGATTGTCCAATTCCTGGACTGTCGACTAGTACGATATTTTCCTAAAAGACACGTAAAATATGAGATGTAACGACCAAAATATTGAATATGAAAGAGATCTTCGATCTTCAAATCCCATACAGACCTGAATTTTTTTGAGGCCATATTTTCACTACAGCTTAAGAATTGTTTATTACTGCAAAGATCCATTTAACTTTCATTTCTCAATACGCAGATCACATACATGATTTTCATATATTCACAGTCATTGAGGCAAAACAATGTCCTTGGGGATCAATATCTAGAGTGCGTTTCGATTGTTGTCATAAGACCAAACCCAGAGTAATCACAGCAATCAATCAAAGCAAAGGAAAACATCACACAATACAATGAGAACCCAAAGATTCAACTCTTTGCAGGGGAAAACGCGGGTCAGTTGCAATTGGTGTTAGTTTTGAATGTGATTGATTCGTGAATTGGAACGAGTTTTCTGGACGAATCACAGAGCGAGGTTAAGTCCGGATTACTCTCAACTCTCAATCTAATGTCCTCTATATCTGTTTGTTTCAAGTGACATTTTGACATCCTTAGCCGAATTTATCATCAGAATTTAGTCAGACGTGACTTTCAGTTGATTCTGCTGTTACTCAATTATTAGTGACCGCAATAAGGTTACATCGAAAGAGATGTGTGTAAGTATTCAGTTGAGATGTCAATAACTAATCTCTTCGTAAATTAGTTATTGTGACGAAACAGCAGCAAAAACCAAGTACAATTCCAAATAGTGCGCAAGTAGTTACTATGCAGAATGGCGAATGACTTAGGGAAAGTTAGGAATTGACTTGAAATTTCTCTTACTTCTCTTATAAAAGACAGTTTTATATCGTAAAATACATTATTGCACGAACATTCTGAAGCTTGCTGACATCAACAATATGTCTCCAAAGTTCAATTCCTAGACCCCAAATAATTACTGAGCTTGCTCATGTCTAACCTTCAATAGATTGTGCGGCCAATACAACTCAATCTTTTCGTAATCTAAACCCTTTTCTCTGTTAGTCTTTAGGTGGACGAATTCGGAAATCTGTTGAAGGTAACTCTGCTCGGAGGCTTCAGATGGCTCGTCTAAGACGACAGTCTTTGTGGTATCCCCTAATTCTTTGTTTTTAAAGTGCGCCACCAGCTTTGGTGTATCTCCATATCTTAGTTCACAGATGGTGGATGTGGTACTCAGAACGGAGTAAGGAAGAAGCTGCTCTCCAAGGATAAGATTTAACAAGGTGCTCTTTCCTGAACTTGTTTCGCCTGGTTAGCATAAACAGGTGAAAATAGGGAGGGAAGAAAGAAAAAACATTGGTAAGAATGAGTCGATTCTACTTAAGTTACGTCGATCAAGAGAATCTGCTTCCCCGGTCCTTTCCACTTAAAATCCCAAACAAAACACCATTTCCCTTCTTCTTCTAATTCTTTTTCATAAAAACACTATTCCTTTTGCTGTCCACAATTATATAGCTTTCACCCAGATATCAGTTAAAGGTTGGACATATTATGTGCCATACTCAAAAGACAGACTTCCGTTAAAGGGACTATCGGTAAATAATCTTAGTTGTCCACTCGTTTTTTCATAAGTGTATTGTATTTATTTATTAACCGGGCTGGCCAAGTTCAGCTGCAACCTGGTTTGAATGGGAGGCCTGTGTTGTTTGGGAAACGTTGTGAGGTAAAAGGACAGGTCAGTAGAGCCCCTTATGACATACAAGAACCAAGAAGCAAATTGGATAATTGAAAAAATTGTGAATAAATGAATGACTGATTTTTTATTCCATCAATAAAAGTTCTATGGTTTAAATGTTGTGAGATTCTGGATTTCCGTAGAATTTAAAAAGTATTCACGGGTGTGACTGTCAAGTTTAAATAGAAGATATTAGCAATAAAGCTCTCACTGTTAACCCTTCAGAGTGACAAACATCTTATTTCTCCTTACAAGATCACCTCTGATTCACATATTCAGGTCACGAGAATAAAGGAAATGATCATCAAGTAAAGGAGCTTATGATTGTTAAACAAAGTCTCCTTGTCAGTACCTTAGGAAATGTATAGATAATGGTATAGGGAATATGCAAACTGGTCTCAGGGTGTATCTTCAAAAAAAAGCACAATTAAGGGAGGATGAAACATAAGTATAACTCCCTCACAAATATAAAGTTTTAATTTAGAAATATAGTTTTATTTTTCTTCATGGCTCGATCACTAGCTTACTAATTAGCTGAGGTGGATTAGTATAATAACTGAATGAAGCCTAAAATTTGAAAGCAATGGCGGTCAAATTGTTTATTTATAACAAACCTGCAACAAGAACAATGTACTCTTTTTTCAGCAGATTTTGTTTTTGGGAAGCGACTTTTTCCCTGAGGTTTTCGATGTTCTGTTCCAAAAGGGCATGAACTTTTCCATCCATACTTTGCAAGCAAACATCCGTGCGTTCGTAGAAATTGAGTAAGGTTGCTCGTTTTCTCTCGTCTTCTTTCTTTGCTTCCGTCATCACCGAGAAAGCCTGGTAAATGGCACAAAATAAAACAACTGCTGTGCATCAACATTCGCCTGTGCAACTTAAATATTACTTTTTGGCCTAATTGGTTAATTTAACCGTTTTACAGTCATTTTGGAAATCTTTGTAACTAATAACATCACTTCTATATACAAACCGCTGTTCTGAGCGCAGCTAAAAATTTGGAATAGGTTCATTAGGCTGGTTTAAGCTCAAAAACTGCCGCAATGCAACCATCTGTAGGCTATTGTTTGCAGTACGTTATCCATGATTACATATGTAAATATGCATGTATTACGTGAACAAAAGCAAATTTTGATGTTAAGCCACAACAGGAAAGGACTCCAACCCTTCGTTGACAATTACGAAAAGAAGAAAACATCTGTGGCTTCCTTTTACCGTGAAAAGCATTAGCTCACTCCAAGCTTTAAGTCTGTGGTCATTCATTTCAAAAAAATCATGCAAGAATTTCTAAGAAAATAAAGAAATTTAAAAAATTAATACCTTTATGTCGCCAAATTCCTGATAGAGCTTAGTCAACTTCCTGTAACACTCACTCGCATCTGGTCGATTATCAGGATTTTCGTCCCAGCAATGCTGCATCAGATCGTGCAAACCAACTGGAGGCTTTTTTGAGCCACGGACATGCGCAGGTCTTGTACCCTCGAGCACTTTTTCGAAAAACTCATGCACATTTCCTTCCACATCAAGAAGGGCTCTGTTACCATACCACATCTCCCAGAGCATTATACCGAAGCTGTAGATGTCTGCTTTGTAATCGTACAAACAGGACTTGATCACTTCAGGAGCGAGATACATAGGAGTTCCAGTCATGGTACCCGTGATCGCTTTGGCTTCGTTAGAAACACCGATATCGGCTACTTTGGCAATATTCTCTTGCGACAGCTATGGGAGAATAAGATAAACTCTATGGAAATTGATACATTTTTAATTCCAAAGTCTAAACGTTTCGACTATCACAAAAATTAAGTAATATTAGAAAAGGGTAGTTGAAGTCGAGTGACTTTTGTTCATGTTAGTTTTCCACAAAACGTTATGTATTATAACCGCTTGTGGTTTCCCTTACAAAAATTATCCCGTAGAAACTGTGGGATTACAATCCCATGGTTTCTCGAGGTGGAACCCGAAACAGACGGAAAATAATAAATCTGATGCTGACCCTTCATAGTACAGGAATTACATCGAAAACTTAAGACAAGACAGGATATTAAGTGCGCTCGCTCATCCAGGTAATAACCGCAGCTAATTTCAGTGACAAGCACAAGCACGCGGCTAATTTCCATATCTGGCTACAAAAGTGTGGTCTGCCACAGGTATCCCACATAGAAAGCGGGAAAACTGGGCTAAGGCGAGCGAATTAGAAAACGATGAAATGCGAAATGAGTCTCGAGGGACAAGGATGATTATAATTATAAATAGTCACGATAACCAGTACTCCCGATCTTGAACTCACCAATATATTTTCCAGCTTGAGATCTCTGTGAACGATACCTTGTCTGTGAATGTATTCCAAAGCATCGGCGATGTCTCTTGCCCATCCGACCACATCTCGCGCAGCTGTAGCAGTTGATGACTTTCCAGGTTTATTATTTTCATGCCGGAAAATGTGCCTCATCAAGTTTTCCTTGCAGAGCTCCATCACCAGAACTGCTTTGAGCTGCTTCCCTTCCTTGTGTAGTGCTGCACCAGAGAACTTTACAATAGAGGGATGATTCAGTTTCCTGCATAAAGAAAACGTAGCGTAAAAAAACTTCACTCATAAGACAGTATGCATATTCTCTATACTGTTATCTAAACAGTTTCTGATACTGAGTTGATGACGTAGTAGTTGATAATACTAAATTACCCTGTTATACTTTCCCACCGACCAAGCACCACAGTTTTTCTAGAAACTCACCCCCTATAATCATTTTCTAATACTACCAGGAAAATTTTGATTATCAATCAAGAAATTCTTCAGTTGTCAATCATTTCACTAATTCTCATGACCTTCATGCTTGATTCAGCGGCGACTAGGAGCAATTAGATGCTAGTCCAACTTAAGAGTTCGAAGGGTAATAAATTGTTGGGAAAATGAAGAGACGTCTCACTGTAAAGGTTTTTCCTAATTAATATCCCGATGTGCTTAAAATATACCTAGATTCTGGGTGTTCTGAAAGCGTCAGAAAAATAAATCTTCTTATTATGATGAGCTTCTTAAACAAACAAGTATATTATGACTAAGAAAATATCTCATTGGCGACCGGCCAGATTATATTTAGTGCTTTCCCAAGGTTTTAAGTAGGTTGGGCCTTCTTTCATAAACAATATAACATTTAAAGATCCATAAAATGACAAAATCAACCTGAGTAGCTCTGCTTCAAAAAGGAAGCTACTAGCAGTATCTTCGTTGAACTCTTCGTTCCACACTTTCACAGCAACATCTACGGGTTTATCCTCTCCTGGTATCTTCAATCTTCCTCGATAAACAACAGAGAACGCTTTACTTCCAAGAAGTGCATCGTCTTTCCAATCCAGATCGTCGCAACTGATGTCCATGGTGTAAAGCTCTTTGATACCAAACAGGGCCATCTCATTCCTTATTTGTACACTCTTCTCGTGTAACGGTTTGTAGAAATCTTCTATTTCTTTCTTAGAACAGTTCTCATCTCTCAATTTTTGACTCAACATTTTGCCCCCTTCTATGAGCTGACGGATCCGATCTGAGACCTGCTTAAGACAAAACTGAGCTTCTTCGAGTTGCTCCATCACGAACGACCTTAAATTCTGTTCTTCAGCTGCTTCATTCAGATATTTTTTAGAAGCTTTCGCCACAAAGGCACACCTGTCTTTGTTGTACTGTCTCTTTTTGTTCCAGTTTCGCAACTTCTCTTTAACTAGGACAACCGGACCAACTGGAACCCAAATTGGACGTTCGACCCCGATTCTGACATTTTCGGCGGCGCCAAAGTAACTTGCAAAGCTGGTAGTATCTCCGGATAGGACAGAGACCTCCAGCATTTGAAGTTGACCTTCGACGTAGCTGAGCCTCTCCTGAAAGTATTGAATCAAAGAGGCGCGAGCATCGGAAAGGACATGGTTCATTTCTTCCCATTCCTCTATCTTTTTTCGAAGTCGCATCATTAGCATCATTTGGATGTATTTGTTAATCAGTTCCCAGCTTTCCCAGCTTTCTTCAGGGTTTGGAACGTCATCTAATGTCCACGAAGAAAACTGCTGCATAACTTCTGGAGACTTAAGGTATCTGAACAGTGCACTCACAGCGTGGTCTGCCTTGTTTCCAAGGTATGATTGCAGCTCTTTGCTTAGTGTACCTTGCTGCCTTTCAATACTTTGGAGGCGGTCAGTGATATAGATCATTCTATCTGTCACATTTTTACGATCTTCGGACGAATTACGTATGAACGCTTTCGTTTGGAGGGCCATACGAGCAAGAAGATAGTCAAGCCACCTAAAAATAAGAACATTATTTTCAATTGTCTTTAATACTTTGTCACCATACAATTGTTTTTAATACTTCGTCCTTCATACAAAGCCAGGCTGAACAGTTTCTTGGCGCTTTTCGCATTGCATGAGTTGACAATTTATGCACTGTATTACCTTCGGCTTATGCTTTTCGTTTCCTGAAAAATACATTTCACGCAGGCAATCAGAATGAAGATATTTTTCATTCTACTATCAGAACCAAAGAGACTTTACCAACAGATGCAACTTCTTCATAACCATTTTGTCGCTAAGGATTCAAAGCAATTTACCTCCACTGAATCTGTCGTCTTGCTTTAATACGTTTCAAAGCCATGGACTTGATACTGTTCATTAGTTCAGCAAACTCTGTCGTGACCACTCCAAGCTTCTGAGTCGCAATGGCTTCTCTTACTGACATATAAATGATCTGAGATTCTGGATCTAAAGAAGGCCAGGATTGCGTGAGTTTCTTCACGACATAGTTCTTAACTTCATCAGTTTCTTCTGACGGCACCTGGTCCCACTTGTTGCAAACGAATAGGGCACAATTTAGGGAGGATTTCCTTTGTGTGTCAAGAGATACCTGACTGGCGTGTTCGATAAGTTTTTCTAACTGAAGGCAAAGAGAAAGAATTAGCTATTTGTCAGTAGTTGCCCTTTTTAAAACGGTTTCACGCCTTAAGTAATCGCTCTACAGGAACAACTCATGTTCGTTAAGTTCCTTCTTCTAGCACATTTGACGAAAAGTTTTGAATAGTTAAATTACTCTTAATAAACTTTAAAATAGAGGATTCAAAAATGATACGAATTTTGCAGCACGTTTTTCCTTTAATCGTTTTTGCAATGAGAATGCATTTCGCACTTTAAAGTGTCTCACCCTATCTCGCTGTATTACAATGTCGTTTTCACTGTTGATGACGTAAATAAATGCAAAAACCTCTGGAAGGTACTCCTTTACAATGTCATCCATGATGGTAGATTCGCCAATTCCTGAACTGTCGACTATTACGATATTTTCCTAAAAGACACGTAAAATATGAGATGTAACGAGCAAAATATTGAACATGAAAGCGATCTTCAAATCCCATACGGGCCTGAATTTTTTTGAGGCCATGTTTTTACTACTGCTTAATAAGTGTTCATTAATGCGAAGATCCCTTTCATTTTCATCTCTTAATTTGCAGATCACATACATGATTTTCATATATTCTCAATCATTGAAGAAAAACATTGTCCTTGAGGATCCCCCTCTAGAGTGCGTTTCGATTGGTTGTCATAAGACCAAACTCAAAGTAATCACAGCAGCCGATCAGAGGAGAGGAAAACATCACACAATACAATGAGAACCCAAAGAAAAAATAAGTGAACAACTCTTTGCAGAGTTAAATGTACCCACTGTGACAGGTTCTGACATCAACAATATGTTTCTGAAGGTCAATTGTAAGACTCCAAATAATTACTGAGCTTGCTCATGTCTAACCTTCAACAAATTGTGTGGCCAAAATAACTCAATCTTTTCGTAACCTGAACCCTCTTCTCTGTTCGCCTTCGGGTGGACGAATTCGGAAATCTGTTGAAGGTAACTCTGCTCGGAGGCTTCGGATGGCTCGTCTAAGAGGACGGTCTTTGTGGTATCCCCTGATTTTTTGTTTTTAAAGTGCACCACCAGCTTTGGTGTATCTCCATATCTTAGTTCACAGATGGTGGATGTGGTTTTCAGAACGGAGTAAGGAAGAAGCTGCTCTCCGAGGATAAGATTTAACAAAGTGCTCTTTCCTGAATATGTTTCGCCTGGTAAGTATAAACAGGTGAAAATAGGGAGGGAAGAAAAAAAAAACATTGGTAAGAATGAGTCGATTCTATTTAAGTTAAATCGAACAAGAGAATCTGCTTCCCCAGTCGTTTCCACCGTGCAAGAAAAACTATCAATGAAGGAACTATCAGTAAATAGTCTTAGTTGGTCTGGACCAGCAGATTCCCATTTTGTCCACTCATCTTTTCATAATTGTACTGTAGTTTTAAATAAAAAATTATAATTAAAATTATCAACCAGGCTGGCCAAGTTCAGCTGCAACCTGGTTTGAATGGGGGCCTGTGTACTAAGAGTAAGATGTTTGGGAAAAGTTGCGAGGTGAAAGAACAGGTCAGAGGAGCCCCTTATAACATACAAGAACCAAGTAGCAAATTGGGTAATTGAAAAATTATGAATAAATAACTGAGTGATCTTTAGTCCATCAATAAAAGTTAAATGTTGTGAGATTCAGGGTTCTGTAGAATTAAAAAAGTGTTCGTGTGACTGTCAAGTTTGATTAGAAGATATTAGCAATGAAGTTCCCACTGTTAACCCTTTAACCCCTAAGAGTGACAAGCATCTAATTTCTCCTTACATGATCACCTCTGACTCATATATTCAGGTTACGGGAATAAAGGAATTGATCATCAAGTAAAGGAGCTCACGATTGTTAAACAAAGTCTCTTTGTCAGTACCTTAGGAAATGTATCGAGAACAGTATGGGGAATATGCAAACTGATCTTAGGGTGTAAAGGGTTAATATAACTTAAGGGAGTATATTACACGAAAGCACAATTAAGGGAGGATGAAATATACTGAGTGTAATTCCCTCATAGAAATATAGTTTTATTTTACCTCATGGCTTGGCCACCAGCTTACTAACTAGCTGAGGTTGGATTAGTATAATAACTGAATGAAGCCTACTTTTCTTTGTCAGTCTTGAATTTAAGTCTATTGGGTGAGGAAGTTGGCGAAACTAAAATTTCAAAGCAGTGGCGGTCAAACTATTTATTTATAACAAACCTGCAACAAGAACAATGTACTCTTTTTTCAGCAGATTTTGTTTGTGGGAAGCGATTTTTTCCTTGAGGTTTCCGATGTTCTGTTCCAAAAGGGCATGAACTTTTCTATCCATACTTTGCAAGCAAACATCCGTGCGTTCG